TAGTCCCAACCCCAGCCAACCACGATACATTTAGCACCATGAATTGAATTCCCCTTCCACCCTTTTGTTTGGGACGACTCAAACCGTAGCATCTAATTCCATTAACATGTATGCAAGAGGACACAAATATGAACTTTAAAACTTCAAGTCTCCATCTTATCATAACATGACTAACTTTAACCATAGTTTGACCATTTGTCAATATATGTGTATACAACTTTTATTGGTTATTTTGGAAAAGAAATCCAAATCCAACCCTAGGTCTAGTTTCGGACCACTTTGGTTTAGGTAAATATAATGTGTGTGAAGTAGAATTGAGAACATTCTTATAAACGAAGAAGAGTTTAAAATGAAAGGACAAAAAATGATGCATGATTGTTGTTGATTGATGGAGAAGTAGGGCAGAATCATCCCATTCTAATTGCAATAGGCCAATCCCTTTCTTGACTTTATGTGGATGCCTCTAAGGGTGGGCGTTTGTGCTCGAAATCGTAAAAAGAACCGTGCCCGCTTGCAACCACAACTGGTGGGTTGGGCTTTTTTGGCATTTGGTTGGGCTGGGCCTCAGTTGCAGTTGTAATTGAGAGCCAAGTCGGGTGGTTGTCAGTTTCTAAGTCTAAGAATCAACAAACCAACAACCGCATGAGTAGGCCCAAAAAACCAAAAAGCCCAACCCTTTTTTTTGTATTTTTATTCTGAATATTTTTACTTAATTTTTTAGTCTTTCATGTTTTTTCATGCAAGGTTTTTGCCTCCAACATTTGACTTTTTAATTTTCCATTCTAAATTTTGAATTCCCTCATTAATTGATTCATCATCTTACTTTAATATATTTTATTTTATTTTTATTATTAATTATATCTCCTTCATTGGATCTAATCATCTAAATGATTAAATCTAACTTGATTTTTTTATTGTCTAATATGTACAATGGTAATAAATATATATTTTTATAATTAATTTATATAAAAATTAATATTTATTTTAATATTATTAATACATAAATCATTTTAATTAATTCATTAAATTAAAATCAATATTTATACTTTTAATATAAATTAATTATAAAATAATACATTAATTACACCAATAGTTCCACTTTTATTTATTTGTTCTCCTTTTTTCTTTTCTCATTTCATGTCACCATGAGATAGCACCATTCACCACCCTCACCATTGATGGTACTATAATGACTTTCTCCAGTTCTCCTTCTTCTTCCACTTCACTCAAACTCATTTTCCACTTCACTCAAACTCATTTTCTCTAACTCTCCTTAATAAAGAAAATCTATTCTACTTCTCTAATAGTCCATTTCTATTAGTTTCTTCTCCTAATTTCATTCTTTTTTTCCAGATCTAGAAACAAAGAATTACTTAGTGATTTTTACCTCCCTCTTCTCTGTCATTGTAGTTTCCATCTCTTCCTTCCATCAACTTTCTCATACCATATTCTCTCATTATTCTTCCTTCATCTTTGATATCTAGCTTGCTGTTCCACCATCAATAAGCCATTATCAAATAATGGTTGAAACCCAAAATTGAAACTAAAATAACCAAGATCGAAACAATTGAAATCATAAAAATTATAACATTTGAGTTTGGTTTTCGGTTTCTAAAATTAAGAAACCAATATCTCAGTTAACCAGCATCTTGGTTTCAGTTACAACCGAAATTGCTCGATGCCCAACCCTAGATGCCTCTACCAGTTTTATCTATTCCCTATTTCCCATTTCTTATTTCTTTTTAATTTACCCAAACCCACTAATGAATTCTTACTTTTTCTTCCATATAGTAGAAATCAATCAACAAGATCAACAATTTACTTATAAGAGGAGGAGAGATTACGATTCATGAAATAGAGCAAATTCAAGAGGAACATACAGGCTTCAGATTTGTCTTGTTTTTTGATATGAAATTGAGGGATTAGAGTTTTATTGATTAGGAAGGTGGCTATTTGTGTAGGTCATGCAAATACACCTTCTCCCATTATCTCCTTCCTAAGCTATCTTGCTTTGTTTGAGTTTAAGAAGAATCGAAGACACAAAAAAGATGTCTTGCTTGTTGCCCTCTTTTGTTTCTTCGCTCTATTTGTGTATAGTTACAACACAGCATGGC